CCTTGACTGCCCACAGCAGTTGTTCAATAGGGTCGGCGTCTCCCTTTGCCTTGTCTTTTCCTCTGGCCTCAGCCTGATCAAGGGTCTGGGTCGGTGCTGGCATGTCGCGGCTGTAGCTGGAAGCCACCTATGGCTGGCTAAGCTCTATCACAATCCGCCCCAGTAGCGGGGGCTCCTGTGGTATGAAATTCCCGCCATATGGCGCCGCTGGCGGTGAAGCCGACATTCCATAGGCCAGATCGGCCACGGACCTCTGGAGGTCCCTATCATTCCCATCAATTCAAAGGTGGTGGGCTCACGAGCCTGGTATAACTGGGGAGCCCAGACCGGGTGCACAACGGGCGACCTGGGTGGATGTGACATACTGATGCTGGCCTCACTCTGCGGAGCGGTCCCCTGCTCCAATGCAATCGTCATAACCACAACTTCTTCTGGATTTTGTGCCGCTATAAATCCTGCCTCAGCAAGGGGGAGACACTGGCTATTCTGTATCAACTCTGCCACTCTCTGAACCTTGAAAGGAAAAACAGGCAGCATTTCAGTCCAAACTGATCGAATATGGGCGTAGCCAAACAACTGTACCCTACTGCTGATCACTGTTCCCAAATTTCTGTTCCCAAAATACTGAATCTGATACCCGTGGATAACTGATTCCTGATAACTGATTCTCAACAATACTGATTCTGGTGCCCTCGGGCCCGATACTCAAACTCGTAAACTGGTATATGCGTTCCTGTAGAGATACACTCTAAAAGCACATAGCAAGTAAGTGAGATCCAAATGCTCAAAGCAAACCAATAGACGTCCAGCCCCCAACGCTTTCATAGCGTCTCAGTCCATGCAATGGTTTCGATTTCATCCCAAAGTCTAGTCGCCAACGCTTCCAAGGCGACTGTGTCCATATATTTGTTGTGACCGTCTTCGTCATCGCTGTGTCCAAGAGCTCGACCACCGCCAATGAAGACTGTTTGCAGACTGCTGCGGCACCATCCAAACAAAG